TTTCATGTTAAAGAGGCATGTATTTAATTGTGACTGCTGTATGATGAACTGAATGACAAAGGACATGTGGTACCTCTAGACATAAGGAAGCTTTGTATCACTTTCTCAATGTTTGGGGTTTTTTTTTTTGTTTTTTTTTTTTTAATACCAGGTCACTTCTTTATATCTGGCTTTATTGAGTAACAAATTCATGACTTGGAAGTTTTATCGGGGAGACCCCAGATCTATATTCCTTTTTCCTAAACAAGATTTTTTTTTTTTATTGAAGACGTTATCAATTTCTTTAGAAAACACTTATATTGTACTGAGTTCAAATTTCTCACCCTCAGAGCTTTTTAGGGGCAGTCATTTCTCTCTCTCAGGCCCATGTTATTTGTTGTGCAGTGCTGTGCACACTCAAAAAATCATAATCCTCATAATGACAGCTGATAGAATCGTCATAGAATGGTTTGGGTTGGAAGGGACCTTAAAGATCATCTGGTTCCAACCCCCCTGCCATGGACAGGGACACGTTCCACTAGACCAGGTTACTCAAAGCCCCATCCAGCCTGGCTTTGACATGCTGGCCATGCTGCTTTTGATGCAGCCTAGAATATAGTTGGTGGACTTTGTTTTTCTCTTGAGGCTTTGGGTGCTCTTCCAAGCCCTGTCTTCAGGCCAGTGCTCCAATGAAATTGGTTCCCCTTCAACCATAATGCTACTCTGAGGAGGCACTTTAATACAAATTTTCAGTTGAAATCTTTTTTATATTCTAGTGCACAAAGGCACCTAACCATCACCCTCTGCAACTCCTTAATCAAATGGTATTTATACAGAATTTATTACAATACCACCAAGCTTCTTCTGGTAATACACTTAATACACAGGGTGGCTCTTGTGCTCCAGGCTGGAGGGGTCGGGTGTTTCTCCAGACCACTATGTCCAGGGTGGTTTGCATCTTCTTGGTGTTCATCTTAAAAAATTTTTATTTGTGGGGATTTTTTTGTGTTATCTTGCTGAAAGGCGGGAAGTTCTCCCCCTGCCAACTTTGGTAAGCAAGGGCTTTTTGGATTTGTGGGTTTATTCTCTCCAGTGAACCTTAAACTTTACAGGCTGTATCATTGTTCATAGACTATTTTAAATTTCTTTATAATGCCCTGCAGTACATTCCCTTGAAATATCAGGATTGCAAATTCCTATTTTTGCAAAACATGAATTGGAAAAGATGTTGCTTTTTTATCAGGATCAATTTTGTACATAAATTATGAGAATGAGTAGCACATTCTTTTGGAGAGATTTTCACATTCAAAGAAATTAAAAATGTTATATGAAGATTACACATAGATTTATCAGGACCCCTTAACTAGCGATAGTGTGAATGTTTCCCAGCTGTGCTGGGTTTCTGTGGGCTGTGTTTTTGCCATCCTTATTGAGGCTGAGCAATCCTCTGTGATAATTCTATTGAAATCCTGGAAATAACTTTTGGAGTTAGGATCTACTGAAGTGATTAAGATGACAGAGCTTGACCTTTAGGGTAAGATCCAAAGCCTATTGCTGCTGCTAAGAATTTTTCTGTGTACTTCTGTGGTGGCTTTAGATTAACGTGCTTTGACTTCTGGTGTTTGTGTAGATGAATGTTGAAGAGGAGAGTCAATTTTTTTTTTACTAAAAGTTGTATTTAAATCTATTTTCCATATATTTTGTCAACACGAGTTTCAGTATTTTACTAAAAATTAGAATTTTTATGTCATTAAATGACATCTTATTTTATACAGGTGCATCCATTCAGCCTTGAATTTTTTTTATGTTATTAATTTTATTTTCAAAATTGATTGGAGTCAGCATTGTTCTTGAATCAGTCTCATCTGAATTTCTGACTATTCTGTGGGGACTTAGTAGAAGAAAAACATCAGATGGGGCACTGAACAGCTTGCCTAAACAGTTCTAGAGACAACTATATCTATTTTGAGTTCCCAATAGACTCTTTAAATTAGCATGAAAAGCAAGATTATTATGGTTTTGGGTACTTTGATGATCTAAGCTCTCAAGACATTGAATCCCTTTTTCTCAAAGCTTTTGTTCAGGTTCCCTCACTGCATAAAAAACACGGTCTGTCTTCTCTTTCTTATCCTCGCCTCCAATCCTTGAATCCAGAGTAGGCAGATCTTAAGCTACAGATGCTATAGTGCTTAAAATGGCTAAATTCTGGCGTGCCGAACATATGAAGATCATGGTGAATCATTGGCAAAAAGTCCAGCCAGAGTATTCTCCCGTGTATCACAAAGTTTTTAAAAGAATCACTACAAATACGCTACTGAGGATCTAAATCAGCTGATGGTGGTAAGAATTTGACCTTCATATAGTAAACTGTCCCCCTCCTTAGGTCAGAGTGCTGTACTTCTGCTCAATATGCATGAAGGTTGTGCCCTTCAGTGACCCATCTTCGTCAAGACGATACAAATTATTTTTGATTTTTTCCAACCTAAAGCCAATTGTGTTAGCTTGGTGACCTAAAAAGTATTTTGCAAATTTCAAATAATTAATGCAGCACTTACAAGGAGGTTGTTCTTTTTCATGCCTACCACTCACTTGGCTTAGAGGATCCCAAAAGGATGCACTAGGAGAGAAGCCGTGCAGCAGTGCAATGTCCCTTTCCTCTCCCATCCATCCTCAGCGAGGGGATGCTGATTTCCTTAAGCTAACTCAGAAGCGTAGATTACTTTCCCAGTTTTATGGTATCTTTCTGATATTTGTGTCTTTGACCTTTTTTTAAGGATTTTGGTCGTTTGTTCAGTGTCCTTATTCTTTCTTATAGGATTTTCTTTGAAAGAAGTATTTCAAAACCCTCTATTACAGTAGCAGCTTTCACTGAGGTTATTTCAATTTTGCAGTACTTCAGGCTCCAGAATCTGGTCTTCAAACTCTGTTGAATCAGGATGGAAACAGACATTTGAAGTGACTGTTTAGCAAAATAATTATTTTTTCCCAGTGGTCTAGAGTGAAAAATATGCAAATATGAATAAAATGAGCTCGTTTGGAAGGCACTGAGCTTTAATGAATAACCATTTATATAACAGCAAAATAAAGCAAATTAAAATCTGTTGTGAACACAAGCTCTTTTAAAAGAACAAATTAAGTGAACATACTGAGAGTTAAATCAAGACACTGGAGGCTTTAATAAGCCTGTTCTCTGCATGAGGAGTGCTAAATGAAAGAGGAACCAAATAAGACCTTCACAGAATTGGCACCAAAGTATTTTTGTTTCTAGCCTAACTCTATGCGTTATAATAACACACTGAGTTTGAAATCTTACTGTGGTGCATCGCTTGAGATGAAACAGTGAAGAAAATTGATCCCTTGCCCGTAGCTCCTGTGCACGGATTTGCCCAGAAATGGCAGTTTCACTGGAGGGTTTGTTTGTTGACGCTGCATCTATATCTGGAAATTAGCATCAAGCTGAATGTTTCTGTTCTGTACAAGGTTGGATAGTTTTAAAGGAGAAAAAAAAGCAACAGCAAGAAGAAAATACTCCAAATGTCTGCTTTGTTGTTTTCTTTTGTTTTTTTCTTTCTTTCTTGGTCAGTCCGAGCAGTATAATTCCAGAGTTAATGAAATTTATAGAGAACAGTTATAGACCAGTATGACTCTAGGTTTTATGTGAGAATTATTTTCTCTCTAGTATCTGAGATGCTAAATGCCTTTGTTTTGGCTACATTTATGTAAATATTGAGTCCTCTTGCATATTATGAAAACAAACATGTATTGCAAATTATTTTTCTTATTGCAGAAGCACAGCAAAAACTCCATCCTGAAAAGAATGCATTAGCCTACCTCCTCACAGTCATCAGACTGTCCCAAAAATCTGTGTTCAGTACTCTGAACCTTCACCTAGTGCAACCAATGGATGACACATGATCTATCTCAAAGGGCTTACTCCCACTTTTGGAACACATTATCTGTGAGATCAAATTAATCCAGCTTAATAGCACTATAAAGCATGTTATAACATCTTAAAGTAAATACAAGCACATACCAGCTAATGTGAGGAGGAGGCTGAACCAGATGACCTCCTGAGGTCCCTTCGAAGCTCAACTTATTCTGTGATGCTGTGATTCTTTCCTTATCTTTGATAGAATCGATTCACTGTTACTAAAAAAAAAACTTGAGAAAAAAAGTCGAAAACCTGAAATTTCTGCTGCATAGCTAGCAAGTGAATGAGAGGACAGGACACTTGCAGAGGCACAAGATAAAGTCCATAGAAAGCAAGCCAGAGGTTTATATAATCAGGAAATTGGAAAGGAAACTTCATAAAATTCAAAAGAACTGTCGGTATTTATATGCAATTTAGGTAATAAAAAATAGATATTTTGATGTGTGAAGCTATGGAAAATGTTTGTGGATGGTTAAATGGAAAGTTGAATTTACTTAAAAAAAATTAACTTGTACTACCAAGCACAATATTTTGCTTGTGCTTCTGTTTTTTCCTTTGATGTAAGTTACTATAAAACAATTGCCAAGCAAATGTGATGCAATTATTAACTGTCCACCTAAGCTGAATGTCACAAAAGACATTTATTTGATGTTTAATTTTCTGTCGCTGCTTGTAAAACTTTTCCTAAGCGTTTGGGCCAAGGTAGTGGGACCTTTCCTCCAACTGTGAAATTCTTCATTTGGAAAAAGACCGAGGGCAGGTCCTTTCTAAACTATAGTGAAGCTTTTGTGGAATCTGGATGTGATGTAATTCACTTGGCTGACAGATTCGCATCTCAGTTCAGCTGGTCCAGCCAGCAGATGGTCACATCTTGTATGAATAAATGAGAGAAACAGGCAGAACTTGTGTGAACAGCAGTGCATTTGTACAGCCCTCTTCTAAAACGTCTGCTGACTGACATTAATGTGTCACGCCTTTTCACTTAAAACTTTGTACTGGTTTTACACTGTGGTTTTCATAGTGGCATGCTTATATTCATTGTCCTTAAGTTGATTGCCTCACTAATTTTCCATTTTCTGTATTGTAACAGCTGGAAACAGTGAGAGTGAGGGCCAAGAAGCAGTGAGGAAAATACAAGAAGAAACTTTGACTGGAAAAGGTACCATACTATAACCTTTCCTTTAAGGAACTCTTTATTCCTCTCTTTTTGCTGGCATCTTCTTTTATATGAGATCCCCTTGTGTATTGTTAAACTTCTTTTAGTTTGGGGAAACTAATTCTGAAAGTAAATTTGACACAAGGGTAAAATGGGTGGGATATTTAAAAAAAATGTTTTCAGTTTTGACTTCTTTACTGTAGTCATTGCAAAAGGGTTGTCTGCAAGTTACAGTCTGCCTGCGTGTGAGTATGGGCACAATGATTTAATAGCTGGGCAGAAAATCAGGATACTAGTCATTTCTGCTAAGGGAAGGAGGACAGCAGGTAAGAGTGGGTGTGCTCTTTTTCATTGCTGGTCTTTGCTCCCATTGTGTATGTAATCCCATAAAAAAGTGATTTTTTTGGGGGGAGGGAAGAAGTCTCTAAAAGAACAAGGCTGCCCAATTGTGTTATTTGACACATGGCGAGATCTTATAATCCATCACAAAATAAATAAAACTGTTTTCTTAAAAATGGATGGACCTTTATATCAAGCCAAAATTTCTATGTTTTTGTGGTTCTTCTGTTTTTTGGTTTTTTTTGTCTGAGGAGCAATCATGTTGGGGGAGGCATAAGGAGAGCATAGCTTGGTAACTATGAGAAAAGGCATATTGCGCGCTGTATCTGCTGTGCGATTATAATTTGCAATGTATGATGGAGGTTAGTGCATCTAATATTTCCATCTCTTGCATTCACTGGGTGTAGTTCCTACTAGTGTGTGATGATTCACTGCTGCCACTTTGATGTATCAGTTCTTGGCAAAATAATAGGGCAGCGCTGCTACTCCACCCTATTTAGGATCTTCATGGCTTCTTCTGAGATCTCATTCTGTTCTTGTGCCTCTAATAATTACTGTTATGATGATCAAAATACGTTAATTATTGTGTTAAAAAACCCTTTCATTAAGATTTATCTTTTGACTTAAATAAATGTGCACCCATCATAGCCTCCGGATACATGTATGCTAGTTAAAAGCGTCATAAATTAAAACATAGTCAGAAGGATCATGAAAGGAAAAAGGTAATTATTACATCGTTTAAATCTTTTGCTGGAAGTTTCTGTACAGAGACCAAAACCATTTGGAATTAATTACATCACGTGACCTGCACGAAGCTGAATAAACCAGGGTCTGTCTTGTTTTCTCACATCTGTGTGATCACAGGCTTTTCTAGCACCTCAGTCTTTCTTGATTTTCTGAATGAAGTAAGCTCTAACCTTCAGTTATAAACTTTGTCAAGATACAACTGGCAGTTTGAGGAAGCTAAAAGTGTATCTAAAGTTGACTGAAGTTGTTCCTTATTGTAATTATAATGTCTGAGACTTTAGTAGTCTCAGGTCCTGGTAGATTTGGCCTAAAAATGAACTGGAAGAGTATTGCCTTTTCAGAATTTCTTACTGATTGGGGGCTAATTGTATTTACAAGTGCATTATCCTGTACAAAGGACTTGTGCAAGTCTAAGCAGCAGTCCTGTGTTGGATTTGCACTTTGCTTTGTAATGTGTGTGCAGATACTGTGACCAAGACTAGGCTGTGTGGACGCATCACCTTTTCAAAAGCTGCAGTTCAATATCTGTTTATTCGCTGCATAAAAACATTATCAATTATCCTGAATGGGGTTTTTTGATAATTTTTTGTGGCCCATATGAAAAAAACTGCTTACAGAAACTGTTCCCATCTGGAATATTGGACTCTAAGGAGAACTACTTAAAACAGTATTGCTCGGCAGCCAGTATGATCAAGGATTAGGATAATATAGCTGTCCTTCTTTTGCTATGGACAAACTATATGAGTGGGTGCCATCAGTTTGCTATCCTATCAGATCTCTAATAAGAAGGAAAATCTCCTTGTTTCTTAGCAGGTTAGACAGCAAAAGGGACCGAGACCTTGTCCTCTCCTTGTTGCCTGGTTGAGCCATACATAACACAAACAACCCCAGAGACAGCTCTGGGAAAAGGCCAGGCTTGTTGAATGCATGTAATTACAGTGTTTTTAAGGCGATAGCATCCTTCTACGTCTTGTCCCACTGTCTGTGGCACTGTCTGCTATCTAAGAGTAAGTAGTTTTTCTTGACATAATCTACACTTCAGGGACAAGTCAGATTCAAAACATGTACATAATTGATTCCTATGAAGCAGCCGATAAGCAGTAACATGTTTCAGAGAGGATAAAGGATAATAATAAAAAGACTATGCACACAGGCGATGCTTTTTTGCAGCAGCATGGCAAGACGTGAAGAAAGGACTGACAAATTTCTGAATACAGGGAGGGAGGAAGCCCACTTTTCCATGCTAGAGGCATTCAAACCAGAGCCAATGCCAAAAGATGGTGGAATATTGGAGAGGAAAGCAGTTGTGGCTGTTCCCCTACAAGGCAGCAATGCCTTGTAGGACACAGAAAATCTAAGCAATATATCACATCACCTCTTCTTACCACCCGTCCTCTTCCATGGTGCTACATCAGAAACCTCCTTGGTTCCTCTCCCTGCTGATTCCAGACTGTTTAGGTGTCTTCCCTGGTTTTGGGTCTCTGTGCTGAGTTACCTGTTGCTAAGTGTAAACAGTGAGGAAGGACATGGGCAGCTGATTGGAAGAGAGTAAGGTACAGGTCCTTGGGACGTGGTAGACCCAATTCACTTGACCATCAGAACCTCCTCCATGATAAAGCAATCAAAGTCCTCAGATATCCAGAACAGATGAGAAGTGCTGCATTGTCATTAAAATTATCCCATGGGCACTATTTCCAAAAGACCAAGGGCAACAGATTGCTACGCTCTGAATCATAAAGCTGGGAGAAGCCAGAATGATGTGGGCATTTATCTTGCTTCCATTTGTTAAATTGGGAACTTGTGTTGTTAATAGTAGCAATTATATGGCTGGGAAAATTGTTGATAGCTAGGGATTACCACAGAGATATTCTAATTGTGTAAGTCTGTAATTTACGGATAGGGTGTGTCTGTGTTAGTGTGTTCGTTAGTTAGATCAGGAGAGCGCTTTTCAGGCAATGCTCAACTGTCGCCCGCTTGCTGAGCACGGGTTCGCATCAGGAAGGGCACCACAGTTCCTGACGTTCATTCTCTTTGGACAGAATTAACCTGAGAGGTGAGCTACAGCAGTAACAGAGCATTAGTGCACGGGAGCGAACTTCGAGCTTATGTGAACTAAAGAGTCCCAGGGACCTGTAGAAGTGCCTGTGTCAGGTGTCCAGCACAAAATGAGCTCTAGAGATTGACTCCTATTGATCCAAACCGCTTGTTAATGTAGCCATAATTGTAGTTACCAGTCCTGAATAAACTACATTGAGTTGTGGAATTGGGAAGTTTCTGTGATAAACTCAACTCTCAATGATACTGGAAAAAATCTTTCCATGTTCATAATAGAGTATATCTCCTGACTCAGTTACCCTCAGTTTACGTCTCTGCAAATGAAAGCTGGTTTTAGCCTGATGATTACAAGCATACAAATGCTGGAAACTAATATATAAACATGAATGAAAGCTTCATTCATTCCATCGTAGGTTCATGAATGCCAATGGAATCAGCAATTAGCAAAAGTTTATGCATAAATATCACTTAGCACAGTACCAAGGAAAGGCTCTCACAACTGCAGTGTAGGAGCTGGAGTTGCAAGTAGACTCAAAGGAGAAAAAAAAATTAAAAGTTAGTGAGAAAACAGGGTGTAAAAGTCATATTAAGCACAGACCTCTTCAAAAGGAGAAGCCTGTGTTTAATCTCACCCAACATTTTTGTGGCAATTCAAATAAAACCACAATTATAAAACTACGCACTAAATCCACAGCATTCATGAGGCTTCCATTTGAAGCCAGGTGAGAAAGGAAGAAGAGACTTTCTCCCTCGGAGTCAGAGGAATGCAGAGGTTAGCACGGTGGCAACCAAATTGTGTCATTTACAGCCTGACCCACATCAAGACAGTGTGGGCCAAGCAGTAGGAGGAACAATATCACCTTTGAAACACTGCAATTCACATGCATTCAACAAGCCTGGCTTTTTCCCAGAGCTTTCTCTTGGGATGTTTGTGCTACATATATATGGCTCAGCCAGGGAATAAGGAGATGAGAAGGTCTCTTGCTCCCTTTTGCAATGTAACCTGCTAATGAGCACGGAGATTTTCCTTGTTATTAGAGATCTGAGATCGAAGAGTTTACCCAAAAAATAGAAGAGAGAATCTACCCAATAGGTAACCAGCATAACTGCAGAATAACTCATGGGTGGTTACTCCACTGACACTTGCTGTATGTCAGGTACCAGTTTTAACAAAACAGTCCATGTTTTTCCACTCTGTATCAGACTGTTTGTTGTTGGAATTCTCTGAAGGCTAGAGAAAGCCAGCTGCTGAGAGTTCCCAAATTCCCCAACTTTTCTATTTGTTTTTGCCCAAGAGCCAATGGTGGTATTCCCAGCACATGGGCTACAGTTGTGTAAGCCAATTCAGCAAAGACCCATGACTTGTTAGAACATGCAAAAACGTCACCCGAGACTTTTTCTTTGACATGGTGTGTCAAAGATGTCGTTATGGAAGTGATCATCCAACTGGTCAAAAGTAGTAGAAAATATTTGTGGTTGAGTTGTATTTTCTATAAGTGTTCATAAGCATGTGTGAGTTTATATTTGCTTGTGTCAGATTTCATTTTCATGTTGTAGTTTTGAGGTGTAAAAGAGTAACATCCTGAGCTTGTGGCAAGAGCTGATGTGTCTACTCTGCCCCTTCTACCACATCCTGCTATTGGCATATCCTTTCTCTACCACTGCGGATGCTGAAAGACCTGTAGGATTGGTTTAAAGAATTTTCTAGCAATAACAGTGCAGTTTCCATCTCTGAGGTTTCTTTTTTCATGCTGGTGCATTATCTCCAGTATTTAGCTTTGGCAAGTCAAGGACTGCCCTCAGTTAGAGTTCTACAACAAAACACCAGGCTCATGAAGACATCTTGAAAGACAGAGTGGTGA